TCCCGTACAGGCCTGATTTTTTTCAGGTCTGATTTTCGCTATTGCTTAAATAGCGCTATCTACTGCGAGGATCGTGCATCATATGTATCTAATACCGCAGTACAAAATATATGAACTTCATATATTTCATTGTATCTCATTTATCACTTTCACGGGTTTATTACGAATCAACTTAACGGCCTGCTCCCAGTTGGCTTGTTAGCTCAATTGGTAGAGCGCTGCACTAGTATCGCAGAGGTCAGTGGTTCGAGTCCCGTACAGGCCTGATTTTTTTCAGGTCTGATTTTCGCTATTGCTTAAATAGCGCTATCTACTGCGAGGATCGTGCATCATATGTATCTAATACCGCAGTACAAAATATATGAACTTCATATATTTCATTGTATCTTATTAATCTTAAGAAAGTACAATACAAGGTCACACAAGGTCACACACTTCCAACAAGGAAAAAAAACCAACATATTTGATATGTTTAAGTTTGATTTATGCTTAAAGCTTACAGCCATGTTTGTACACTGTTCCTTTCCTTCAATTCTAATCGGGGTTTTGTCTATTGTTCTATCCATTGGTTTTCTGTACCCTCTTAATTCATAGCAGAACGACGATGATGCATTCTTTGCTCTTCAAATTTCTTGTTCGTCATTCAGAATTGCACCAGTTTTGAGACGCCCAACAAATCACAATGTTCTCCTGCTTTCAGCCACTCTGAACAAGATTAACAAAGGACAACTATTGATTCGGCCGTCAAATCATAATTTTTGCCTGTCTTCAGCCAATCACCCACTTTCAAACAGAACGTACCTCCCGCTCAATTAGTTAATTGTTTTTTATTTCAAAAAAACAGTATGGTTTAGTATAGTACCAGTCTACGTCTAAGTATAATTTTAAGTTTAACTAGAAGTAAAAATAAAACTATAAGTACCGAAAAATATATATATCAGGATGAGCGATTTCCAATTGACTGTTAGAAAATACCAAGCCGAAGAAATAGCTCTGAGCAATCTTAACAGACAAACAGTTACATGTATATACATAGCAGACACCAAGGGGGGAAAATGCACCCTGTCTTAAATTTTGTTTCAGGAGTAATTGGAGGCTGTATATGATGTCGAATGATGCACAGGAACTTGTAGACATGGAAGAGTGCATGTTCTGCAGGGGCATGTTCTAATTTGCTGATCTTTACGGTCAATGAACAACAATGAAAGGCACTCCGTATAGTCTTTTGTTTTGTTTGAATTCCTAGTTGAGTGTGGGATCGTGTGATTTGAGCCAAATGCCAACGATACCTTGTGATAATAACCTATCCTAAAAAACAGGAAGTTTTGACAGTATGTTGTGCATAGTTTGCAAATCAATACAAAACGTTTGAAACTCCAACATGTTTGTAAATTGTTCCTTTCCTTGAATTCTAATCCGGGTTTTTTCCATTGCTCTATCCATTGGTTTTCTGCACCCTCTTTAGAGCGGAATGACGAAGCATTTTTTCCTCTTCTTCCCTTGACATTTGAAGGTTTAGTATATTGTTCTGTCAACTGTTTCGGCTCCGAAACCTCTTTCGGCAGAATGACGATGCATTCTTTGCTCTTCAAATTTCCTGTTTGTCATCTAGAATTGTACAACACGGTAAGAGTCACGTCCGCTTTTCTAGTAGTGAGCTTGGGCTGCCGGTGGTTTAAATAACCGGACATACATTTTAAGGAGAAATTAATTTTCAACACGTGTATATCGCCTTAGTTTCCTTAGTTACCTTTTTTTTTTCTTTTTGCAAGGCTAAGTAAAACCCAATAATTTAGATATATCAACAAAGTTGAAATGGTAAAGTGGCCACCATAACGATAGAGTCCTAAAGTGTGACGTCACGTTGCCATGACAGCATTTTTTTCTGGTCTAAACAGTTTAAACTCATACTTCAAACATGGCGTCTTTATCGATATGCTCACTCGTTTCTTTCTTTTCTGGAGAGCGGAAATCGCTTGATCGCGGAGAAAACCACTTCAAATCCGACCATGTCCAAAGCTTTATTTATTCCAGGGGAGTCATCAAAGGTGAAGTCCAAGCAAGCATGAAAAATAAGGACTACAAAGTCACAGTAAGTTGCCAATTTGGGATCACAACACGTATGTTCAATTCGAAGAACTCCCAACCCCGATTTCACCTCCAATTTAATGTTTATATTGCGGAATATATATTGCAACTTACGTGTCTGTTTCGAATTATCTTTTTATCAGATTTATCTCGATGAAAACCTTGAAATAAAAAACACAGAATGCGAGTGTCCTCGCGGCGAGTTCAAGTGCAGTCACGCGGCAGCCATATTTATTTATGGCATCCATAACCTTAGCAGGACGGACCTGGAATGCCAATGGAAACGAAAGCGAAAGGCAGAAAGCGTACAGTCTGCAAGCCAGATGTTTCCAGCGCCACCGAAGAAGAAGGATTACAGCCCTTTGGCGCGCGATCCTAGCCGAGAAGATCGGATGTGGCTGTACAGCGAACTAAAGCGCTATGGCAAATTTACAGGGACCTGCTGGATCTTGAGTCCCGAACCACAACCTGCTACCCCTCTCCCGATCAAGACGATTGAGGATATCATTTACTCAGAAGGTTTCCTTATGGCATCTACGAAGGAAAAACAATTAGAGTACTTGATTGAGAATGCCAAAGTAGAGGAGAGAACCATAAATGTTGTGAGCACCCTCACGGCTGGCCAGCGAAACAGCCCTGCATGGCACCAAGCTCGTAGAGGCCGCCTGACTGCCAGTAATTTTGGCTCCGTCCTCCAGGCAAAAAGAGTTACACCGTCTCTTATCAAGCGACTACTTGGGGAATACAACTTGAGTGGAGTTAAAGCAATTGCATGGGGACAGGACAATGAGACTGAGGCCCTGAAATCCTTCACCAACATCACAAACTTTACACCTGTACAGACCGGCCTTTGGCTACACGAGTCGGGAGTTCTGGGTGCTTCCAGAGAACTATATACTAAGTATGTT